CCGACCACGAACGTGACTCCAAAACCACCGACTATTATTTACACGTCCTATAGTCGGTACAGTATAATGTGTATACAATGTGATTATTTTATCCCTAAACAGTAGGTAATATTCTTAATACATATAAGAGTTTTTGAAAATATTTTTTTTTTATATAATTTATATTCAATAAAATGTTCTTATACAAATTCATCGTTATAATTTTCCTATTTAATTGCTCGGGAATACTAAGTTAATAGAATAAACTGAGTAGTGAATAAGTGCGCATGAACTAACATTTTTCGGATACCCCTGTGCCTCTCCGTAGTAAGTAATCAACTCAAAAATAAAAGTACAAAACTTATTTAAAAGATATACTAAACATAAAATATGTGATAAAAAAAAATTATACATCAAATGTGTTCAAAACATATAAGTAAATTTACCAGGAAAATGAAGGTTACTTGATAAAAGAATCACTCTGTAGAATGGGGATATAATAATACAATAGGAATAATAATATACGTATAGTATGACTATGATGGGTGTTTCCCTTTTCCGCCATACCAGATAACTGCGGTCGATTCGCTTTTCTACCAGTATGCAATTGAACGGTTCACTTTTCCACCATTCAACGCATAAAGTGAATTTGAAAAAAATAAAATATAAAATTACGTAATCGTACGTATTTTTAATTAAACTTACCTTAGTATTTTATATAAAAGAACCAATAAAATAATATAATAATTATTGATAGGTACGTTTAATGTTGGTTATTATTTTATGGTAGAAGTAATCCGATCACCCTGTGCTTACCATTGATATCCCTGGTAGCAAATAATATGTAATCTTTGTCAAGTAATTTTTACATTTTCTAGTGTTTTTCGAAACAGTTTTCGTATATAATTCACACACCTAGAACTATAGACCACCATGGCACCATCACTCAAAATTTGCCAAATTTAATATAATATAATTGGGCATTCAAGTACCTTGTTAAAAATAGTTCTAAATATAATGCAAGACCCTCTATTCAATAAAATTTTCCATTAGGCCACCAAAAAGATAAGCTATTATTTAATTTTCAAATGTAGGTAGATATAGTTAATTATTAAAGCTGCGTTCGAACTAATTTTGCTGAAAATTATAGATTTTATACTGAAAAACTGCTAAAAATCTTACTCCGATTTACGATACATCAGTTTTTCATTTGCTTTATAATTTAAAATGTTCCTGAATCTTAGAAATATTAAGCTTTTACAAATTATTTATATACCTTTGTATAAAAACGATTTCTTTTTAAAAAATATTTGAGAGTTCAAAATATTGAAATTGTTTTTGCATTATTTGAATTTTATTTATTTTTAATTAAGTCTCATTTATGATTAAATTTTAATAAAGTCATTTTTGTATTGCTTTTTAGTTGTTATTAAATTCATCGTGGTACAATATTTAAAAAATATATTTATTCATTTTAAATCATGTTTTTTTATACTCTTGTAACTAACATAGTAACACCCTGGTGTATATAGGTAATATACATTATGAATAATACAAATTTAGAAATGTTTTAATAAAACCATTATATTATTTATTTTTTTATTATACTTAATAGTACCTATAATGATAATTAATATTTTAATAGACGTACATTAAAGGAAAAGTGAACTATTTGTATCATAATGGTGGAAAAGGAAAATGTCGATTTTGTCAGAACCTCAGTAAGAATAGTGACGTCCCTAACTCACGTTATTCGGTATTTTATTTTATCTAACAATAACAATATTAAATGTCTCACAATGCAAAGTGATTTTGACTTGCTCTCTGGATATTATTATTAACTAGGTAGATAGATTTTTGTTGGAATTTGTAAGTTTGTTTTATTTTAAGATTTAGCAAAGTAAACTATACTTAATAGTTAATTCAATATTTGAGATGTATATTATTTATCTATAAGCGTTTATCAAGAATAAAAATAATACTCGACATACTTATTCGATAAATTAATTTATTATTTGCTAGAAATAGAACGCTGGTAGAAATTATATTATTGAAGATGTTTAAATTCTAAATCAATAATAAATTATTATCTGGAAATGATTAAGCGGAGTTAACATTTTTAATAGCAGTTCTATTCAAAAACTCTTTAATGGGCAAATCGAAAAACGAATCTCTAAAAAAAGCAACAACTATAAAAAAATCGATATCCACAATCAACTGATATAATAATGTATGGTAAGCTGAAACTTCCAAGTACTCTTATTTTGGAAAGAGCGTTCACAGTGACCAGTGTTATAACTAGTGTCAGATTCTGAGCACAATATTTATTTATGAGCATCTGATGTTAATATTTAGACAAATTATTTCTAGTTGGAAATTCATAAAACTGTTTCTATTTATATTCAAGCTTTGAAAATTTAATACAAGATTCCCCTTAAGTTTTTCTATACATTAAACAACAAAAAGTAGTTTACTGGAAACAGTGGAAAGTCAAATTAATTTTGTACGAGCGTTTTAAGTTTTTGGCTACCTATACTTTATATTTTTACAGATTTTTATTTAAATATTAATTAACTACCCTCACTTGTTAATTAGAAGGATAAAAATAAAATTTGTAGCTATTAAAACCAAATAATGTTACTAATAGGTAGGTAAATAAAATTACCTAACCTATATTATATTATCACTATGTAAATAACCGTCAGCTATTGGTAGGTATTATCCATAATTTGAAATAATTTACACACGTAATTTGCTATTTTAAGTAAAGTATAAAATAATATAAAATAATAATAATAGTAGGTACAAGCGTATAACACAATATAGGTACAACTGAACAGAGTGAGCCGTTACATAAATGTATTATGATATTTTTTGATTTTTTCGTATATCGTTGAAATCAGGAGTAGGCCTATTCTAGATTGATTCAAATGCCTGATACTTAGCAGAATTTCTATAGGTACCATAATATTTTTTTTTCATGCCAAGGTGATCCTTGTGGTATCTTTTTCCAAGCAAGTTATCTTGTACAAAAAGAGAGACCCATGGTGATCAGTGATCACGTTTGAACCGCCAATGTTGGGCATTGGCCTTATTGTTCACTCCCCCACTTCGTGTCTACGTCTCAATGTAAATTAAGAATGTATGATATTATTTTTATTTTTAGTATACTAGTTTGTTCGGAAATTTTTTAAATTATATTCACTTTACTTCATTTTTTGAAATTAATGTCACGTTTATGTGGCGTTAATGCTGCATCTCGAGTATAACGGGAGAGGGGGGCTTTGGCAGGACGGATCTCAGGTGTTACGAACGTGTGCTACGTCTATCGTGCATCACGCGTACTTGCACGTGCGTGTACTATAAGTTGGGGATCGTGTACTATCGGGCACGTGTTTCTGACGACGGAATTCGGGTTACCTATGTATATTCACCACCCCCCCCCCCTCCACAACATCTACACAATGACCAATCCGGAGCCCTCCCCGGACTTTAACTGCACGTTTATCGAGTGGAAGAAATAGAAACTACAGCGGAACAGCTAGCACAACGTCTCGAGCTCCGACGCGAGAAGCGCTTTCATCCATGAATGACATAAAATAAATATTATATTATATATTTACATAATATACTAGTTTATTTATTGCAATACGGTGACGAAGTCAGCTGTAGTGACTAAGCTAGACTTGCAAATGTTAAAAAAAAAAACTAAAAAATACCATAGAAGTGGCTTTGCATTATAGGTAGTAAGTGTCGAGTGTACTTCGTCAAAGTACGCTGCTAGGTCACTATTAGGGACAGGCAATCCTTGGGAACGTGTGCAGGAATTCACAGGAATCATACAGACATATTTTGGAACAAATTATAGTTTACCCATCATAAGGCTAAATAATGATGAATTTCATTTAAATATTCAAGTGTTTTGTTAAACGTCAAATTAAAAATAACACTTATACTGCTTAAAAATATATTTAAAAAAACAAAAATTGGGATATACTGCTAAATTGGTGGAATCCTATTACAATTCTCTGATTTATTTAATACATTGATACAAAAAATAAATAAACAAACAAACAATTAGCATTGTAGGTACCTATTAAATAACACATTTAACAATATAAAATGATTATAAACATTATATAATAATGGCTGTTCCAATAAACTGCGGACTTGCAGATCCAATTAATATTTTGTGTGCATAATAATTTTGAAAAAATAGATCACTAAATATGGAATCGTTAAAGGAGGAGGATGTTTGAAAAATGTGAGACATTTTTAACGAGTGACAAAATAAACTAATTGTGATACTGTATTAGAATAAGTGGAATAAGGTCTTTCATCTTGTTCTTGTGAATTAAAAACACATTGTCTTACATCAATATGTGCATATTTAAAAAATAAATGTTGTGCCATAGGCATTGTTATAACTCGCAATCTTGTGCAAATAAATAAAAATGTATAAAATATATCAGGTTATCATAATGAATATATTATTTTTATTTCTATGTCTTAGTAATAAAGTAATTTTATCATTAAATAAATAAATTCTATAAAAAAGATAACTAACAAAACTAAATAAATAGGTAGGATTATAGCCTATATTATAATAAAAATAAAATTTATAAATATACAAATATAAGAGATTACATTAATTAGTTTTATCCACTTTACGAAAAGGTCGAAAAATATTGTTTATTAAAACATGAGTGATTTCATGAAGTGGATTATACTTAATATATAATGTGTATATGTGATCATATTAAATATAGGTCGTGATATGGTATAATTATATATTCATATTATATCATTATTTATCTTTAATTAAAAGTGGTCATTAGTTCGTTGATATACATTATACAATAATATATAATATTATTATCAGCTGTATTTGTACATGTATTCATTATTTTTATATTTATTTAATTATTTTTAATTATTATTAATATTTGGTTTCAGGATTACTTTTATAGTTTTTCAATTCACAAAAGAAATCAATCTGTTGAATATATGATATATGTAATATGTTGATGAAATTAAAGGTGTTAATTTTATTTTCGATTGGTGCAGTACAAGTTTCTCGTTCGGCAATTATGGCCCAAAATCCCACGGTGTAAGTATATATCAATAAATAACAAATACAATTATAAAACTGTGGGGTGGTTAAAACATGCTCTATATTATGTCACAGTGTCACACCCACTACTATGCGGTGATTATACCATTGATTATAAATAATTACAATAGTATTATTTAATCAAAGGTTATACGCCATACCATGAAGACTAAAATATTGTGGTGTAGATACTATCTATAGGTAATATATAGGACATAGGTACCTACTAATATATATAAAAACTTGATTTTAATATTTCTACCTATGTATTATTCCTACAGCTGGAGCTGTGATGTTTAATATTATATTTTCGAAAATTCTGAAATTCTGATAAGTGCAATAAAAAAATTACACCCTCTAACCAATTTTTGTGGTGATTAAATATTTAAGGAAGGGGGGTCATCAATAATATCAAATAAAGGCAGTGATTGTTAGTGATTAGTACCTAATTAGGTTAAATGTTTACAAATACAAAAATCGTGCAGTATATACGTTTTAATATAATATAATATAATAATGTAGGTATACATAGTGAATTTAACGATACAATAAGTCATCATCCTGTTAAATGGAGCAATAGAGGAGGTAATGACAGTAATGTTATAACAGCTGTTATAAGTCATAATATATCATAATTTATAACAATCATAATATTTAACAATATTTTTTCAAAATTATTATTTTATACTTAATTAAATAAAAAAAAATGTTTTTGACAAAATAATCGTAAAAATAATTATATTTCGTTTGAGTCGTTCTATAGACTATAGAGGTTATGATTATAAAGCAGGATCACCAATAAAAAAATTTAAGTAAACAATATTCCGAAGACAGCCTCATATTCATTTTTTTTAATAGCGCATAATAAAATATTTAGTGATGTTTAAAAAATAGAAAAATAAATAGTGTATCGCAGGTATATTAAAAATTCATAAAGAAATACTTAAAATATTCATAGGTTGGCATATAATAATATAATATACCTACCTCATATTATGTATATTATTTGATGAATAACTTATATACTATTATACTTACTCGTTCAGCCATTACATTTTATATTACCATTTTATATCAAAAATCAATAATTTAATAACAGCTTAATACTTTGACTCATTTAACTGTTTTTTTTTTTTTTTTTTTTTTAATATTTAGATCAAATTTGTTGTTATTTGATTTTCAAAATGCGACCGATTTAAATAACTGGACAGAACAATCTGACACTGTGAGATCAGCAGGAAAGTCAAAAGCAACATTTGATTTATATAAAACTCAAACTAATCAGTCTGCAATCTTATTCACATTGCTAAATCCACTACCAAACGGTGCATGTTTCAGTGGCGTCCGTACATTAACACAATTAAACCTTGAGGGATATGAATATATATCATTTGTATGCAAAACCACGGGAAATGCCACTACATACAAGATTATTTTAAGGCATAATAATTTAAATGACGAGCCAAACCCAACTTATGAACAAAAATTTAAGGTACCCACCTATAATAAACTACATACAAATGTAACGTTAATAGGCATATATATTTTACAGCTATATACTTAATGTCTTGTTTACAATGATTTTAACAGGTTAACACGGATTCAGATACAACAGTGAAAATGCCAATTTCACAATTCCACCCTTATTATAGGGGTAAAGAAATAATAGATGGACCTGCACTAAATGTGAAAAATATTACCAACTTTGGTATTCAAGTCGCTGGAGGCGTTTATGAAAATTTTAAACAATCAGGATTATCGTCTTTAGTGGTGGATCAAATTTGGGCAGAACCCTACGGAAATGCAAACTGAACAATTTTATGTCATTAATTATAATTATACCATATGAATTACTGTCAACCATTATACTCATTAGTCATTAGACATTATATAATTATCATCTATAAGTGGACTATTACAACATATTGTATATGTTACATTGTTACTTATACTTAAGTTGAAGTCAACTACCTAATTATCTAAATTTCTTATAACTAAATATTGTAATGTAATATTATTAGGAACCTATTCATAATATATAATATTGTATTGTTATTTATGTTGTAACTTCATAAGTTTTGGTTTGAAACAATTGTGGAGAGGTGGGAATCTGGCATAACATTATTGTTAGCAGAACTTTTCAAAACGTATAAATAATATAAACTGTATTAATAGACTTGATGGATATTGTTGGAATTTGTTGGAGCCCTTTTTTAACTATCCAGCCTTAAATTTGGTACTACCTATATTAATTTCACACAATACATTAGATTTTTATTGAAACTGTTTGAAAAACCTTCACCAATATTTATATAGTCTTGTTGGAAATTATTGTAGTCCCCTATGTATTTATTTCACATTAAGCTTTGCACTGCTAACCTCACACATAAAATTTTTTAATTTGTATAACAGAACAAAAACCACCCACAGCAATATTTATTGAGGTTTTAATTGATTTAGAAATTGTTATTCAAGTTAAATTTAGTACTCAAATAGTAAATTTAAGTTCATAATCGTTATTGATCAAAATTATACACTTCTCTTTTCGGCAAAACAAAAAGTTTAATAATAATACAAATATTCTTTATATTATACACTTATACATACGTATAAAAAATAGAAAGTATTAAAAATATAAGTTGTATACAAATTATATAATATATACATAATGTCATAGTTAATATTATCATTGTACTTTACATTCTTGTCGATATTATTCTATCAGTACCTAGCTACTACAGTACTACAGTTACTAAGCATACACATATTTTGTCCACATTTAAGTACTTAATGTTAAAAAAAATATAAGTTGAATAAAGTATTAAAAATATAAATTTTATAAAATATTTTTGTTGGCAATCAAACTGATCCCCAATCACATAATTTTAATGAAAACAATTATTATAAAGAAATGTATTTTTATTTTTATATTAGGTACCTACATAATTGTTATACTCGTATACAACTTATATTTGTATTTTGTTATACTTTTCTATATCTATATAACACAAACCAAAAAGTTTATTTGCTTTATGTTAGGTATTTATAAATATAATAATATAATATAGAAAACATGAAAAATATTAAAATGTATAAATATAAGTAATTAAGTAAATATAATTAAATATTTGATAGGTGGTAGTCGAGTTTGATTATGACAATTTACAGAAATTTAATAGGTGGCACGGTTATGTAGATATGTGTGTAAATATAAATACGAAATAAATATCTAATAAGTAAATAATTTTTAAAAAACTTATATTTTTTTATAATTTTTTACATGTACCTATAACATAATAAATTATTAATATGATATAATTTAAAAACAAATATAACAAAAGAGATTTAAACATTTTACTAGCATTTTATACATCGTGTAGTTTTCAAAATATTTATAGGACAATATAAAATATATGACGATTTTTTTTTTTTTTTATAAATGTTAATTAACATTTAAAATTTTAAATATCTATAAATATCTCAAAAACATAGTCAATATATTTTTAAAACTATACTATGTATATAAAATGAGAACATAAATATTAAGTAAAAAATTCAAGTATCCACGGTTATTTGTTTTTGAATTACAACAAAATATCAAAAATCGTTTAAGAAAGTTATATTACGGATGAATATCTAAAATGCCATCAAAATTAGAACCTCAAATGCTCACAAAAATTAATGTGACATTCCGGTAAACTTTTTTTTATTTTAAGTAGAAAAACTTATTTGAAACGTTGTAGTACATTTTCAAATCTTAAATACTGTTACGTCCCAACTGAGGTCAATATATACATCAACGCAGGAATGAAATACTGATGTACTTGGTTATGATGAGTGTTTATTTAAGTACAAAATTACAATGTTTATAAGCTATGGTGGAGATGTGAGCGGTGTTATGACCTGACTCCAAATGTCTTGAGTATCCCTAACCGTCTGCCGAGCTCTTGTCCCGGGCTGGTATTTATAATATGATCGAGTCCTTTGGAGTGGGTGGTTATATCAATGGCCAAATTCGGTCATGAGACTGCGTCCGGGTCTCGTACTTGGTATTCTGGTCAACTCGTATCCTTCGTATGAATGTTTGACTTTCCTAGAGAGATACTTTTACAGTGTCCCTAGCGTGCGGTTATAATATACTAATTGCCTTATTAATTATATCGTCGAGTACTATTAGAAACCTGCGCTCCGTCGTACATTGTTATTACTTAATTACTAAATACGTAGGTACGTAACAATACTATGAAAAGAAATTTTAAGTACAAAATAATTCGCAAATTTTCGTGATTTTGACTAATTTCGTAAAATGTTGAAATTTAAAAAATTCCTGAAAATCATACGTCTTGAAATTGTTTTAATAGCTTTAATAAAAACTTATGAAACTTATAGCTATGCCGAAGGAAACTTGATAGAATCCTCCGACTGTCAGAGGTTGTCCTAATAATGATGAAAATAAATTAAAAGAAATACAAATGTTATTTAACTTAAAACTTTATTACATAATATTATAGTAAAAAATAATTTACATATTTTCGTGATTTTGTTCAAATTGTTATTTATTATATTTCTGTTTTCAAGCTGTTTTTCTATATTCAAACGAATAATAACGATTTATGTTATTTTGTTGTAACTATTATAACTGTAGGGCCCGGATTTATATGCAATAAAAATCTATAAAATATGCAGATTGATATCATAAATATGCAAAAAATATGCAAAATTAATTATTTTTACAAATTAACAATATATTATGTATAAAAATTGTTTATTAATAAAAAAAATGCAAAATAGCATTTTTAATGACATTGTGTAAGTATAAAAGTATTATAAATTAATTAAAGTATTACCATTTATATTAAATTATTATAATTGGACGAGTATCAGCATGAAGTAATAAATATGGATTTCAAGTTTTCGAATTGAAAACTCCTACGATTATCTCGAAGCATACTTTGTATTAAAAAGTAACATTCGATTTCTCTAGTTTTGTTATTGGATCTATTAAACACTGAAAGTGTGTTGTAATAACGGCGAGCTCATTTTTTAACTCTTTATTATGTTGTACTACTTAAAACTTTCTGTTACATGACACATTTACACAACAAAAATTGCAAAATAAAATATTTTTGTCTGTTTTAAATAGATAGGATATTCATTTACGTACCGGGAAGCATTATTTTCTTTAGGTATTATAGAAAAATAAAAGTCGCAAGTTAGAATTTTTTAACAAAATATACCGTACACTGCAAAAAAAAAATGAACCATAGAATCTACACATTACGAAACGTCGACATTTATAATCAAAATTATTCTAGGAGAATTGAAGAAGAACATGCATTTGCATATAAATCCGGGCCCTACTTATAAATAATTCAAAAATATTTTTAATTGGGATTTTAGTCTTTTACATAAATATATTTTTATTTTTTTATTTTTATTTTTTTAACATTTATTTAGAAAATATACAATCTGTAAGGTTATTTACAATAGGCATATATGCATTGTTTATGTGATTTTAACGTGAGTTAACTTGATTTTAAGGAACTACTCAACAGTAGTACTTATGGCTTGAGGGACATAAATATATAAATATATATATTTACCTATAATATTATATTTTATACAGGTACACAATGATAATATTTTAAAAATTGTATTGAGTATAGAAAATTTTAATTTAAGTAATAGTAGAATTTTTAAAGCTTCTATGAAGAGTATTGATTTATGAGTTGGTTATATTATAATGTAATTATTATTTATAATTGTTATTATACGAATACGATATTAGGTGCTATGGGATACACAACGAAAAAAGCTATAAATAAATAAGGCTATTGATGTATATTATTTAATAGTCATATAGATATACATCTGTATGTCTTAAAAAGTATTATTTTAAAAACAAATATCAACATTTCTGGAACACGAAATTGTGATATTTTATTAATAAGGTGTACATACTGATTTTGAGCTTAAACGGAGTCAGATGTAGGCAATTACTTAAGCATGCGTGTGAGCGCGCCGTGTAAGTTGTGCCTTTCAAGTAGGGTTCTGAATTAGAAATATTTCACAACGAATAATGCCAATATGCTGAGGAAAAAAACTAACTTATAGAAGTCCAATTTAAATTTTGAAAAACAATTTGAAATTGATAGCTTTTTCTCTTTTTCTATGTTGTAGTCTTGTAGGAAATAGATTTTTGATATTTTGGATGGTTTAAGTATTTATAATAAAATATGTAGTATGGTTCCAAATATTAATTTACTTAATTTCACAAAATGATGCACTTTAAATTGCCAACGAGACAAAAAATGAAAAAGTTATTAATACAAAACATATTTGAACGAATTCAAATTATTTCTTAAAAATAATATTGGACTACAAGAGGTTTATTTTTTGCTAGTTTATTGGTCTAAAATTTAGACTCTAAATGCACGAAAAAACACAATCGCTTAGCACCCCCTTAAAATATTCAAAATTGAAAATGTTTTTTTTTTAAACATAAAATAAATAACATAAAATAGGAAAATATATTCTATTATCCTTGTATTATTTTATATTGTATTATTACTAGTTATTATTAAGTCATAAAGTAAATCTTTACGAAAAATCTGAAGTATTATTAATTGATTGAAAAAAAAAAAATAATTTGCCCATAATTGTTCAAAAGTAAAAATTTGCAGTACTTTTCAAAATGATCAGGTAAAACAAAAAAATTGGGGAATGCTTAGCTGTATAGTATAGAAGTCGAGTTTATATGTACCTCGTCATTAAGTAGGTCGCTGTAATGGCCAATGGGTACTTATGTTCAA